TAAGAAAATTTCGGTGGAGAATAGGTCAGTACTCTGTGAACGCCCTGATATCGTTCGCTTGAGAAATAATTTTCTCAGGGTTATAAAGAAGAAGCGCGAAGAAGGGTTCGAGCCAGTGTACTTGGACGAGACATGGGTCAATGCCTCGAACACTGCCAGCAGTCAGTGGGTACCCGATGGGGGTGATAAGGGGTCACGTAGAAAGCTTCCTCTAGGGAAAGGAGAGAGACTAATCATTCTCCATGCTGGTTGCTCCAGCAAAGGCTTTCTCCCAGGCTGCGACTTGGTATTCAGGGCATAGTCCACAGATAACAGAGACTACCATTCCGAGATGAATGGTGCGGTTTTCCTCGATTGGGTTAAAACAAGTTGGTACCAGCTCTACCAGAGAAGTCTTTTGTTGTAATGGACAATAGCCCATATCAAAGCGTGCAGGACCCCGACAGTAAAGCCCCGACATCGAACAGTCAAAAAGGAGATATGATATCATGGCTCGACAAATTTCACATCGCACGGCCTTCAAAGGCAACGAAGCCTCAGCTATATGAGATCATGAAACTTGGCAAAACTGTGTCAACAAGGTAGCTAACGTCCATGAACAAGGTTACTGGTCTCGGGATGGCTTACAACAGGCAACTGTGGCACCACTTGTCATCCCTTTAAGTCGTGACTTTGACACTACGACAGACGAGGAACCGACAGGTCTCCCGGAATAGATTTTGAGATGTCCCCCGCCATGACTGGCTGTTCCGTTTCTGCGGTTTCACCCCGCCGCGACAGATAACAACTTTTGCGTTTTCAATGATGATAGTTTCTTAAACAACTTTTTAGGTGGAGTCCGGATTAGTAATTCATAAACATGTGTACTATTTATATTTATGTGGCAATTCTGTACAATGATAACATTTGCAATTCATCGGTCCGTTTCTGACTCAAACGGACTGTAGTATCACGTAACCATGCCGAACCAACAATGCAACATGAACAATTATTAGACTTTGACGAACTGTTGAGTCTCTCTATATGATTATTTGTGTCGGTGCATTATATATGGTACACAAGCCTTTTATGATAAGAGGGGCAGTAGACATCGACCAGCGAGTTCATTATCATTTCAGAAAATAGGATTACACTTCTATCAGAGAGTTTTATTGCGATCCCTTTTATCACTGCTTAGCCTTATGAACACAAATATAACCCTAAATGTTATGCAGCTAACTTACAGTCAGGCCTGTGAACTTGAGTGAAAGCTGCGGTTTTTTCCATCTACCATACACGCTGGAAAACGCCTCGGTTAAACACACTGACACCATGGCAAACGGTACCTTGGTACCATAACGAAGCAATACCGTGATTTGTTACAATGTGTGTGTGTGTGTGCGTGCGTGCGTGCGTGCGTGCAAGCCTGTGTGTGCGTGTGTATGTATGAAGGGGGCGAGAGTTGGGTGCTGTCCATGGGAGTGAGTGAGTGAAATAGATAAAGGTATATTATATGGGGAAAGCGCAGTAGTTGGAACAGTGATACAAATGCACGTGCGGTACGTGATGACCGCTAACTTTGACCAACCCTGCTTGTTCTCGGTGTTTAGTTTAATGTGCATACCTCATTGTAATACAAACCAACAATAGCGATTTGAAACTATGATCGTTTGTTAACCAACTTTTATCGTAAGTTGAATACAAGATTCAAATGTTCCACTGGCAAGGTAAGTTTATGAGGATTCGCTGTCTTAATTTCACTTTATTTGATTTACTTGTTTGTTTAAAGTGAAATTCATCGGTACGTTTTCACTGCAAACAGACTATAGATCACCATACTAGGGTTCCTGTAACCATGGGAGCGGTAGAGGGGTGGATGGGAAGGGGTGCTTGTACTCGTCTTCATTCAAGACAGTTTCATAATGCTAAGCATATTGAGATGGTGCCAGCAAGTATCGTGTTCGAACCACCGACCACTGATCTCGAAGCTTATTTCCCCTAGAACCCGATGGTGATCATTCATTGCAGGACCATTGAAGGACAGATCTGGTATTGTTGAAACACTTACATCAATATCATATATGATGTAATGAGTTATTATCATGAGTGCAGTCACAGTTTTAGTCCTTATATTTTAAGTGGAAAATATTTTATAATAATTAATCATTCAATATATATTACCCTTCCCAGTGTGTGTGTAAATATGTATTTGATAATGTGAGGGAAATGTACATGTAAATGTATCCTTTCAGAACAGAATCTTTCATTTGAACACATTATCCTTCATATTCAATTTAAACCTTTTATTGTCCAAGTAATCGCATATCTATTACAGCACATTACATTATATATAAACTACACTGCAATTTGTGCCAATACCTGTGGTTATACTGATTTGTTAATGGTCGTTTTACAAAACCTCTTGTGAAAATGTCTTAAAGCATGAAATAGGTAGTTGGGATTTTGTACATCCTGAAAGGAACTGAGGCTTAGCATTGTTTATCTAATCCAGTATGACATGCATGACAAGTGCCAGTTTCCTGAACATGTCAAAATGTCAACATGTTTTGAAATTAAACATTTCTATGAAAACTGTGGTAACTAACTGGGACATTTCTCAGTTAACCCGTCACTCTCGAGTAGGGCTGCGCAATATAACCGATATACCGGTATTTCCCGGTTCAGACATGAACACGATACGTTTTGCGAAGTTGCGATATGCTGATCGAAAATCGGCAAAAAAATCAGTCTTTCCAAAATTGCGGAAAGTTTCATCTGCTGCAAAACTTATTTTATGCGTTGAATGAATAAAGGATGATGATGTCTACATCGAGTGAAAATTTGGTCAATTAAACTCTTCTAGTTTTGGAGATCTTAGGGCTCAAAGATTTTGACGTTTTGGGTTATCTGCCCTTACCGGAAGCCGGAAGTCGGGATATTTTCAACATTGTTTCAACTTCAGCATACAGGCTATCATCCCTGAAAGTTTCATGAAAATCGCCCCAGAGGTTAGGTCAGTAGAGCGGGTACAAAATTCGTACAAATAATAAGAATATTCGGAAAATAACAGTAGGTCTTCCAGACTTTCGTCTGAAGACCTCATAATAATAATCCGAACGATTACAATAGGTCTCCTTCAGTCAGCAGGACTTAATACAGTCGCAAAATTGTTTTGAATAGAATCCCGGCTACGTTTAAAAGTGAACTGGAACAAATGCACACTATTTGTTATGGTCTAGCTAGAGGAATAGATCGAAACGTCACTTGTGCTGTTCTTATGGCGAGGCACAGTTTAAAAACATCTTCTTTAAAGAATACATGCAGTAGGACGAACAAACTATTTTCCGTTTTGGGGTTTAATTTAAAAGACTGACTTTACTTTGGAAGTTACTAAGATATCACCGGGATAGAGGATGGCGGTGCTTGATAGAAAAACATCTTTAATGAACACTTTCAAATATGACATGAGTGCTCAAATGACAAATACAAAAACAACTGATGAAAAAGTATGTGTGTTGATAGAAATGGAAATGAGAAACTACGAAATGGTAAAATGAATAAACGTTAATTACAAACATTTTTCACATTATCTCTATTCTGATCTTTGCGTGCTACAGTACTACAACTGTATGTGTCATTTACCGAAATCACCAGTTCTGTTGATTAAATTACACACAATCGCGAATAATAAAAAAATTAACATACTCGGAAATAACTTGTGCAGGTAAAACCTAAGCAAGCAGAAGTTGATTAATTTGAAGACATGGCGAACATTGTTTTATATAGGACTGTCTTTGAGGATAAACCTGGCTGAGAGCGTAGCTCATACGACTTCTTCTTGAAAACCGAAACTTTGCGGGTTCTATTTATGTAATATTTCATATGCTATATTTGGGATATGTCGGATGACTTTGTGTGCTGGCGATTAGGTGCCTGACTCTGAAAGTACCGGGTTTGAATCCCAGATGGGACTGAATCCAACAAAAGTACTGGAATCTGTACTTTATTGGGAAAGTGTAATCCCCCAATATAACATATGTTACATTTGACCGCTTTCAAAATGGCATTGTATATTCATATTCTATTTATGTTCCTTCTTGTGGGGTAAATTCCACAGAATAGGTCATGGGTTAAATCTAAAACTCCGTGTCATATCTATAAGTATCTTTTTAACATCTGATGATGCAGCAATTGTGGGCAAACTGAACGACACTGATTCTGAAGAACTGTATAAAGAGGACATTAATCATTATACGACTTGGTGTGCAGAAAACCACTTACTCTTAAATGTCACAAAAACAAAGGAACTGATAATTGACTTTCGGAGTAAACCCACAGAAATTCTTCCAGTGATAATCAACGGTGAATGTGTTGAGACTGTGTCGGAGTATAAGTATCTGGGAACCTTCATTGCCTCTAAGCTGAACTGGAACTCTAACACTGAAGCCCTATACAAAAAGTGTCAACAACGTCTTAATCTCATGCGTAAACTGAGATCTTTTAATGTTAACCCATCTGTGATGTCATCTTTTTATGTAGCATTTATTCAGAGTATTTTAACATTTTCCTTCCATTGTTGGTACGGGTCTCCCTCAGTTCATCTCAAATCTAAAATAGACAAAATTGTTAACACTGCAAGTAAAATCGCTGGAGTCAGACTTGAATGTTTATCATCGATATATGAGCGGCAAATCGTGAATCAAGCTGTCAAAATCATATCTGACCGTACTCACTACTTAAATTCGGAATACAACCTCCTCCCTTCAGGCCGCCGCTACAAAGTTCCAATTGTGAAAACTAAGAGAGCCCGTACATCCTTTATTCCAAGTACCATATCTCTCTTAAACAAATGTGAAGATACCTAAATCAAAGAATTTAAGTAAATATGTTTGGTATCTCTCTAATGTGTCAGTAGCTCTGCTGATGTAACACAAATTCCCGAAAAGACATTTAAGTATTATTCTATTCTATTCTATTCTATTCTATTCTATTCTATTCTATTCTATTCTATTCTATTCTATCTGACGGGTGTCTTGTCTCAAGTCTCAACTTTGTAAGGAATCACTATGGTTTTACCAATCATCCAAGTTAATGTGACAGGGCGGATAAGTACTGTATAGCAATAGTCTTTGCCAATTATGTGGATGTGCCAAAATGATTGTATAATGTACAAAATATAATCTATAAATATCAACTTCATAAAATCCAATCACAGTCGGTGCTGAGGAAAGCTCCTGATAAAGCACAGATGAGCCTGGATAATTCTCTCTTCTTTTTCTTGGAATACTCGGTGGAACATTGGCTTCAATCTATGGTTCTGTTGAAAATACTTGTCCGAACGTCCAGCCAGAGACGCATCAGCATTTTAAAAGCTTGTATTGAAAATGTCAAAGAGAGTTATCTCAAAACGTGTTAAAGATCTAAACACTTAAAACACAAATTAAAGAACATTCGATGTAGACGCCTATCTGAGCGAGACATACGCTGACTAAAGAGCCCTTGAACTATAGAAATAAAACCCGATGTTTATTCAAGCATTCGCTGCATTGTCAGTGCGACTCTCCTTCTGTGGGAGCTGCCGTCGTCGGAGCTTTGTCACTGGGAGGGAGGTGGGTGGATACCTGAAGCCCCTGGAGCAGTGGCGAGGGGGTTGTCATCTGATGGGGACGTTGTAGGAGGGTGAGGCTTTGATGTTTTAGGAGGGTCGGGCTGTGGCATCGGTGGGTTGTCACTCTGCGGAGGGGCCCCGGGGGGTGGGGCTTGCCATGCGGGTGCTGGCACGGACGGCGGTTGGCGAATAGTTCCAGGAGGTAGCGTCCGAGTATTTATCTGTCCCCCGTTAGAGTTATTTCCAGGGGGATGCGCTGGATCTGAGGAATCGTATGGAGGTGGAGGGTCGTTGGCTTTGATGGTTGGGGGAATTGGGTAGTGGGTGATAGGTTTTTCTCCGTTGCTTCGTTCGACGCCTGAAATAGTGAATATAAATTATCTGGTATTATATATGTCAGAGCGTGCGTTCGATTATTTTCGAGCGACCTGAGATAACTGAAGTTAACACATTCAGAGTCAACCAAAGTCATTTAGGTTCGGCCTGTGTTGGCCAGTTATAACTAAGGGCAGTACCCGGAATATCACCCATTCCCCCCTTAGGGACCGTTCATAATTTACGGCTTGCGGGGCTGATGATGAATTGTATGGAGTAGCATGTACAATGTAAATGACCGACCGCAAAAATTATCATACCTTAACGCCAAATTAGATATATTATCCAAACTTATATATCGCTGACGAACAAAATAATACACATTTACCATCAAACCCTGTTTAATTATATTCATACACTGTTTCAATCATGTCTGGCACAATAAATCTATCTATTTATTGAAAAAACTTATATAGCGCCATATCCAGAAATAAACTGCTCTGCAGCGCTTGAGACTAGAACTGATTTTCTTCAACAATGATGTCACTTTGAAGCTGCCAACCAAAGTAAGTGAGATTTACGCCTCACCGCTCCCTGGTAGCACGTGCAGCAAATCGCATGCTTCGGTGGGTACGGGTAGCTTAGATCAATCGAAATGTGACGTACATCCATTAACCTGGCTATACCTTGGGCAATACGGGTTCACTTGGGATGTCCCGAGTTTTAACAAAGAATGTAAGTATCGTATCAGCTTAATGTGTAACTGGGCGGTGGGGTAACCTAGTGGTTAAAGCGTTCGTTCGTCGAACCGAAGATTGCAGTCATGGATTTTCTACAGAGAAACAACATCAATGTGTTTCCTTGGTCCTCCAGGTCACCTGACATGTCACCAGTTGAACACGTGTGGGACAATTTGGATCGTCAGATTCGTGCTAGAGCCGTTCTTCCTGGAAACCGGCGTCAGCTTGTCCAAACCCCTTCAAGAGGAAGGTGTACGGTGGACATACCAGACACTAACCACGTGTATATGATCGAATCCTAGACACTTCATTCCTTCATTTATACAGTGACTCAATGGTCTTGTTATTGTTGCTACTCCAGTGAAATGACTGAGTGCATGTTGCCCATACACCTGTTATTATAATTCACTGTCCTTTTTCACAATGTTGATTTGTAGTTTTGTAATATCAGTGATTTCGACTTGGTATCGTTTCTTTTGCCCGTTAGTTTATACAATATAAATGAATGTCAGGATGATGCTGAATTTCAGCCACGACAAGAGGCATTGAAGACTTTCCAAATAATTCTATATACAAGTCTGATATATGTTTAAATATATAAATTATCATACCTTAACGCCAAATTAGATATATTATCCAAACTTATATATCGCTGACGAACAAAATAATACACATTTACCATCAAACCCTGTTTAATTATATTCATACACTGTTTCAATCATGTCTGGCACAATAAATCTATCTATTTATTGAAAAACTTATATAGCGCCATATCCAGAAATAAACTGCTCTGCAGCGCTTGAGACTAGAACTGATTTTCTTCAACAATGATGTCACTTTGAAGCTGCCAACCAAAGTAAGTGAGATTTACGCCTCACCGCTCCCTGGTAGCACGTGCAGCAAATCGCATGCTTCGGTGGGTACGGGTAGCTTAGATCAATCGAAATGTGACGTACATCCATTAACCTGGCTATACCTTGGGCAATACGGGTTCACTTGGGATGTCCCGAGTTTTAACAAAGAATGTAAGTATCGTATCAGCTTAATGTGTAACTGGGCGGTGGGGTAACCTAGTGGTTAAAGCGTTCGTTCGTCGAACCGAAGACCCGGGTTCGATTCCCCACATGGGTGCAACGTGTGAAGCCCATTTCTGGTGTTCCCGCCTTGATATTGCTGGAAAATTGCTAAAAACGGCGTAAAACCCAACTCACTATCTCACTTAATGTGTAACTAAAGTGATTGGTCGTAGAAGTTAACCACATTGCCTAAACTACATTGAAGAACATTAGGCAATCCATATGTTTAATGTGTTTCACCTCTTCAACCGCGATCACCAAGGGAGCAGGCTGGTGTGTGTGTGTGTGTGTGTGTGTGTGAGAGAGAGAGAGAGAGAGAGAGAGAGAGAGAGAGAGAGAGAGAGAGAGAGAGAGAGAGAGAGAGAGAGAGAGAGAGAGAGAGAGAGAGAGAGAGAGAGAGAGAGAGAGAGAGAGAGAGAGAGAGAGAGAGAGTCTGAAATAAACATGCAACTTTAAAATATAGATCACTTATAGTCTTCAGTTTATTGGATGTGGTCGCTTTACTTCGGAAACACTTTTTCAAGACATATAGATGTAGAAGGCTGCTCAAGCTGACCTGGGTTTTTTCCATGTGTGTGCAAAGGAAGGAGATTACCCAAGGAAAAGAAAACCTCCTATAGTTTCAATTTGGAATGAAAATTCAAATGGGAAACAGAATCAAATACCGACGGCCTAGTAGGGGATAGTATTTGGCGCAACGGACCCTGGCAGTGCTAAGTGACGCAACTCTTTACATCGTCGTGTCTCATTTTGTTCCTTGCAACGGGATTACTGTTTATGGCTAATCATTCCCGTATTTGCATTCTCTTGTCAGCCTGTGAGTTATGCGACCTGATATCATTCAGAATAAATTCAATAGCATTGATCACATTTCATGTTCTGTTGTAAGCAAGGTTCGCTATTGACACAAATAAATGCGCGGTAATTTGTTATTAAGACGTCACGTTCACTTGGTGTATATCATGATATATTACCTACATGAATACAGATGTACAGTTTAAACAAATTATGAAGGCGATACACTGAAGGCCAAGTCACTTTAGTTCACTAAAGTTGTGATAGAGTTCAGAGATAACCTACATCGCATACATACATACGCATACATACATACATACATACATACATACATACATACATACATACATACATACATACATACATACATACATACATACATACATACATACATACATACATACATACATACATACATACATACATACATACATACATACATACATACATAAGGAGGGGTATTTTGACTTACCTGAGGTCCCAGAGGAAGTCGCAAGGGGCTGGGGAGGCGAAGGACTGACGATACGTCGTGGTTCTAGCTTCTTTTTAATGCAGCAGTAAAGGATTAAAACGAAGAGTAACACCAATCCGGGGGCTATCAGAGCGAATAAGCCATAATATCTGTACAAAGGAGAACATTACATAATCAGTGACAACACGAGGCGATCAGTCCTTTTATTTACCCAATACCGAACCCCACATACGTTTGAATCAAACACAGTGCTGGTGTGTTTCAGCACCCATGTTTTTTTCCTGTTTTTGACAATACTTCGTTCCACTCAAACTCAACGAATATTGAATCAGTCGCTTCACTGTAAGTTCTAACATGTCGTTTAAAGTGCCCATTAAAAACACAAACAGTTGCATTTACCTTAGAGTATCAAAGATCTCACCACGTTTATGTAATATCAAAGTTTACGGTGTTCCCATACATTTTGTTTGTAGTATAGTATGACATCCATCATCAGCACAGATACACGCTATTTGCAGCTGAACCATGTCGTAACAGGAAAACATAGTGGCGCTTATGGATTACGCCTGTACATTATCTACATGAAACACGAACTCCCAGTTAGGCTTAAAAAGCTTGGCGTTAACACAAGAGTTAAGATTGGTGATCAACTTACGATGAGTTTGACTTGCAAGTGCTAGAGGAACAGTAATTGTACGTCCCGTAGTTCCTGCTCCTATAGCTCCTGTAGCTCGTAGAGCCCCTGTAGCTCGTAGAGCCCCTGTAGCTGCTGAAGCGAATTGCAACGCCATCATACACTGCAACAGAACACGACATCATCAGTGCACAGACAACAACAAAAGGGAGGACAAGAAGGGCCCTGGCAGAGAAATCTTAGCTGTGTAACAGCAGCAGTTAGGGGACGGATGGTGGGATAGCAGACATCCCGACTGGAGAGATATCAGTGGTTCGGAATTGGGTTATATCAGAGATAATATGTATGGATGATACAAGATGTAGAACGCCAGCTTAGCGTATTTGAGTAGGTTTTTAATAACTACCGGGCAAAAGAAACTTATCACCTGATGTTGTGGCTCATAAAGAAGACACCAGGATATGTATGATAGAAATATTGTTTATTATACAAAATTAAACCATTTACCAAGGATGAAACAGAATCACCAATTCCAATCGATGGGGTCAAAATGAAATGTTACCCAATCACAGATCATTCACAAGATGTGTTTCAAGTCACATTATGGAACTGTCCAAGCCTTCAGTAGCGTGTGTGACGACCCCTTGAATCGATACATGCCAAAACACGTCTCCTCATGGATGACGTTAGTCGACGGATAACGTCAACAGGAATTCTGTGCCACAGATCCAAGAGAACTTGTTCGGGCTGCTGTCGATTTGCTGGTGGAGGTTGCCGTTGTCTCAACTGCCTATTAAGATGATCCCAGAGATGCTCTTTCGGATTCATATCCGGAGATCATGGTGGCCAGGGCAATACGTTGATGTTCACGTTGTTGAGGTAGTCTTGTACGATCCTGACCGTATGCGGGCGTGCAGATCAAACCCCTCAGCTGTTGACGCACAAATGGTGACACAACTGGCCTCAAGACTTCGTCTCTGTACCTTTGAGCAGTCAAATTTCCATGAAGGATGACAAGTCGTGTTCTCTGCTGACCACAAATCCCACAAACCATGACACCGCCTCCACCAAAAGGGTGCACCTCTTGGACACAGTTCGGCGCCGGTCGCTCACCACTACGTCTGTAAACACGAACTCGCCCCTCATTTCGGAACATGTTGAATCGTCTCTCGTCTGTAAACAGAACTCTCTCCCAATTACGTCGCTGCCACCGACGTACAGTTCGAGCCCACTGTAACCTGTTTTGACAGTGTTGACGGGTCAAGGCCATTCCACGAAAGGGACGGTGAGCTCTGATGCCAGCCATATGGAGTCGTCGTAGTACGGTTCGTCTGCTGATGTGGTGTCCCAAGGCCTTCGTCGCCATTGACGTCGCCGTGACGAATCTGTTCCGCAGGTGAATTGTCCGGATGTAGCGGTCTTCAGCTGGCGTGGTAACCCTTGGTCTGCCCGTTCTTGGACGGTCTTGTGTCTGGCCTGTCTGTTGGTAACGGCTCAACAAGTTGCTGATGGTTGCTTGGCTGCAAATTGAAGACTCTTGCAATGTGACGTTGTGAGGCCCCCATTTCTTTCATACCAATAGCTCTGTCACGTTCGGCTTGTGAAAGTTTTGATACTGCATGGATGCACTGTTCCACATCTGTATTTGTGCAAAACATTGTGCACGGGTATTTTCAGCAAGTCCATTTATGCTGTTTTTTAAATTGTTCATGCTAGCACGAAAATCACTTAATCACGGACTTATGCCTTGCTACTCGACCACAGAATGTGTTTTGGCGAATGTTTTCTGAAAATATTTCACTTTATGGCAGTATCTGTAATTGCGAAAACGTTAATTTAAAAGTGATAAGTTCCGTTTGCCCGTTAGTTTAGTTGCTTCTAATTTACCACGTACGTCTACTGTTGATAAAGGACCAATGATATTCCGGGTTAGAATTGGTCTTCAGTTTGTCGTAAAAGGTGACTAGTGGGATTTGATGGACATGCTCATTGACGTCAATTAATGAATTGCATGGGCCAGACTTGATTATTTACAGAAACCGTCACTATATTTAACCAACCAACAAACAAAAACATTGAAAGATTTCCGTGGCGGTTTTACACTTCCTATTTGTGTACAAATAACGTCGCTTGTAAATCCTTAAACCTTCTCTGTCTCTCAGCCCCTAGAGCAAATATTTAAACATATATCAGACTTGTATATAGAATTATTTGGAAAGTCTTCAATGCCTCTTGTCGTGGCTGAAATTCAGCATCATCCTGACATTCATTTATATTGTATAAACTAACGGGCAAAAGAAACGATACCAAGTCGAAATCACTGATATTACAAAACTACAAATCAACATTGTGAAAAAGGACAGTGAATTATAATAACAGGTGTATGGGCAACATGCACTCAGTCATTTCACTGGAGTAGCAACAATAACAAGACCATTGAGTCACTGTATAAATGAAGGAATGAAGTGTCTAGGATTCGATCATATACACGTGGTTAGTGTCTGGTATGTCCACCGTACACCTTCCTCTTGAAGGGTTTGGACAAGCTGACGCCGGTTTCCAGGAACAACGGCTCTAGCACGAATCTGACGATCCAAATTGTCCCACACGTGTTCAACTGGTGACATGTCAGGTGACCTGGAGGACCAAGGAAACACATTGATGTTGTTTCTCTGTAGAAAATCCATGACTGCAATATATATATATACGTGCTGTATGAAGACGGACGTTGTCCTGCTGGAACATGATCCGATTACGGCGTTGACGTAGGAATGATAGCACAACAGACGCAGAATATGATTAATGTACCGTTGGGCAGTGAGATTGCCATTCACCACAACAAGATATGTCTTCATATCGTGCCATATGCTCCAAACCATGACACCACGAGCCCTGGCATCATTACTGAACAGCTCGGACCTGCTGCTTGCTCTCTCTGTCTCTGTCTCTCTCTCTGTCTCTGTCTCTGTCTCTGTCTCTGTCTCTCTCTCTGTCTCTGTCTCTGTCTCTGTCTCTGTCTCTCCCCTCCCTCCCTCTCCCTCCTCCCCCTCCCTCCCTCCCTCCCTCCCTCTCCCCTCCCTCTCTCTCTCTGACCACCACCCGATCCGATCCTGTTTTTTGCCTCTTACGACACGCATGGATTACTGAATATCAATTCTAACCCGGATCTTCGGGTCTATCTCACTATAACGAAACACCACATGACTGTACATTGTAGTACAACTGTTGTGAAAGAATTGCTTAAGCATGTATTGCTCAATACTATTGCGAATTCGAATTTGATATAATGATCAGCTGCAGTATGACTGAAGACATTGCACTAAAGTAAAACGCTATTTCTATGACATTGAATTCAACCATTGTACTTGTCTTGTGATACAATGTTCTGTATTCACAGTACAAACACTACCGAAATGTTATTGCAGTTCAAATACTACTACTGCAATGTTATTGTTAAAAAATTACATAAACGATACGTATTAATAATGATAATAACTCCATTCACTTGGTGATTGCTCATAACAAATAAAAGCATTAAAGTTCTGTATTCACAGTACAAACACTACCGAAATGTTATTGCAGTTCAAATACTACTACTGCAATGTTATTGTTAAAAAAATTACATAAACGATACGTATTAATAATGATAATAACTCCATTCACTTGGTGATTGCTCATAACAAATAAAAGCATTTCCCCTTCAACACATAAATATGCTCAAAGCGCACAACTTCATTACCATTACCCCGGATAACCCAAGCTGCAAAGACATGACAAGGACAATTTGATTTTAAGCCCCTTTTATACAGGAATAGTTACAACGACGTGACACAGTGCGATACGGCTACCTGATTCTGAGTTTGATATACCGTCAAATACCGTTATGTCGAAGTTAAAGGAACCAACGTAAATAAAAATAATAATAATATTAAGTCATCTTCTACAGCGCACAGTTTCCAAACTCCAAGTGATTGCTCGCGGCGCTTAATCAGAATCTGATTCTTATTACCCCGGATAACCCAAGCTGCCTGTTAGACGCTAGAAGGTTATAGTTACATGACTTATCCCACCGGGTACCCATTTTCCGCAGTGTTAACAGAGGAAAGTTTTCACAAACTCACTTGCATAAGGTGAGACCACATGTATCACATGGGCTTCGTTGTGGGGCAAGACTGAAGTCCTAAAACTCTCAGGAGCCAGGCTGCCAACCACGGTCACCCATCGAAGGAGTCTCTGGCCCAACATTGCTTAACTCAACTGATTTGTGACCTTAGCTCTGTGCACAGGACCACACACCACCACAGTATGCAGTATGCTCTATTGCAATATTTATTCAGAGAACCAGTACATCGGGTAAGAACACATTTATCTTACCTCACACATAAATGTCGTTTTCTGATTGGCTGAGCGCTCTTACAAGCAAGTAACATTTCAATGTACCCCGCTGTCCATGGCAACTCATTTGGTTAAGAATATCAATAAATATATTTATAGATAATCCATTGCTGACTATAAAAGCAGTTGACCTAGGCTTTTGACTGACTGTTTCATGTATACATGTATATAGAAACGGGAATGTATTAAAATATTGTTACTATCTGACGCTTATAAAAGACTGGGTGATTTAGCTTTACTGTAGTACATCTGGGAAAGATATAGTGGAGTGCAAATGGGACGTATGACAGATTGGGGTAAACCTCATCCACATACTAGGGACTAAACATCACTACACCCAATCTGTGCAATTGCCCATTAGGCCGTTTGTCCAATGCGTGCAATGGGCAATACAGTTTGCTCGTTGCATGCAATGGGCAATCCATTATCTGTTCATTGCACGTAATATTGTGAATGAAACATATTTCTCCAAAACATTTCACATGGGTAACCGGCTTG